AAAATAAAATATAACTTCTTGTATAAACATTTAATTGAGTTGACGAAATGTATTCTACATAGAACAATCAAAATACAGAACAAAGAATTAGACTTGATAAAATCAGCGAATTCTAGATTCAATTCATTCATTGCATGCTTCAGTGATATTCAACCACTAGTCTTACAACACCTGTAGTTACCATGGAAACTATTCTATATATATATTGATTTAGTTTATTAACTAGTCAATTATTCAAATTAAAAATCTGTACTATACTGTAGAATAGTAGGTTATTTTACTATAAAATAGTTATTCCTGTCAATAACCGCTGATATATTATACACCTGATAATATATTATTATATTATTCTCATTCATAAATACATTGTATAACAAACTGTTTGCTCCACAACAAACTGAGAGTCAATTAACTACACATTGTCAAAATATTAAACAAATCAGATTAAAATGAAAGAGTCTAACCCGCTGATCTTGATCGGAGTTGTTACCTGTATAAAACCATGTAAGCCTACTACACACCTGTAGTTTCCTGTACTGGGCTGAGGTTTCTTGGATAATTCTATACCTTACCTACACTATATCAAAATATGTGTTACTTTCTTCAAATATCAATTGACTAGAGCTCATCTCCAAAATTCTCCCGGCCTTCATTAGCCCACATAGTGCAGAAAAGTAGGACGTAAAACTCCATTCAGTTCATTTCTTTTCGTAAATTCTCCCCTGTCTCGTACAGCTTTACTGAAATATTTTCAATATTTGACTTGAGACATATGAATAAAGTAAGTAACTTCACTGAACAAAAATGAAATTTTGAAAATTTCCTGGTTTTTTTTCTGCTTGGTTCATGGTCGTTTCACGTTTTTCTTTTGTCAGTCGTTTCTAGTCGGTTCATGTTTTAGTAAGTATGATTTTCACGCCCTGTGGTGCTGTGATCCCCCTGATAATTCAGTAACTTCTCCGCTGCCTAATGGTTTATAGAAACACCACTGTATGGGCTCAATAAAAATAATAACAGGTTTGTTAGTTTTACTTGTTACAATAAGTGAGCGTTTATATTATAATGTTTATATTATATCTAACATTAATCAGCAACAAATATACAAGCAATATAAAATTGATAAGAAAAGAAACATGTAATAATTGTCAATTTGGTAGATTGATATATAAATGTAATCAACTGTAAATGTAACTATTTGTTTTTGAGATGTAATTTGAAATATTTTTATGAAATGATTTGGGATTGTTGAAGACTTGTAGATTTGAAGGAAGGTAATTCCAAAGACTGGATCCCTTAAAACTTAAACTGCATTTGGCTAGAGAAAGTCGTGGATTCGGAAGTGACTGGGGTCACAGCCTATAATGTAGACTTACAAAAACTTACTCGACATCATACAACCAGGCCAACTCTTTATAGTTTACTTAATTGAAGTTGTTTAGAATGAGGTAGAAAAATACCATTAAAAGCACATACAGAAAGAATTTTGGACTCTTACTTTCCAGTGCTTTCGAGAGGCGATGTATGTCTCACTCTATAGTACGTGGAGCCTTACAGAACAGAGCAAGCTTTATTATTATAAACACAAGACAATATTATAGAATAAACTCACTTCTTTAATAATATAAAGACCATAACGTTTCTACACAATTTACACTGAAAGAATATTACCATCTGATAGAAACAATCTCGGACTATAGTTTTGAATTAAGAAAGTGAGCTGTGTTTCGGACTTTCTAATAAAAATAATTTTCTCTATTGAATAATTCCAATCAATATAAAACTAGTCCAGAAAGACTAGCAGGAATTGTCGTTTCTATGGTTATTACAGTCTGTCATTGAGTAATATTTAATTAGAACTTGTTACCTTAGCAACCATAAACAAACATGGCGACTGCTTGTTATTGTGTTGTCTTATTGGACATTAGTTATGGATATTTGAACCTATTTTCTCCCGTTTGAAATGAATATTAGTCAAAAGAAATCGATATTTTGTATTCTCAAACCAGCAATATTGAGTAATAATTTATCAGGCTTGGTTTCTATTAAAATTCTTTGTATTTGAGATAAGCGGATGCATATACCGTAACGTTCCGTGTCTTAGACGCATACTTGTATAACGCGCACCCAGTCTTACTTTTTATAACACAAGGATGGAAGATTGAGTTTTTTAAGTTGTTAAAGCATCATATATCGACTATATCTAATAGTTTCTAGGCGTTGGCCATTTTATAATTCTATATTGTATATCAGTATTTACCTGGTTATTATAACGGAGATCAATGTCACGTACAAACAATATAAACTTTACTTCTATTGTTTTACTTATTGATTACCATTCCTGCAAGTCAGTCGGATTTTAGAGCTGTTTAAGTGACAAAAACAATTAACTCTAAACCTTAGACTTGATATTTTAAAACTTAACTTCTATTGTGTTATTTATTGGTTACCATTCCTGCAAGTCAGTCTGGTATTAGAGCAGCTTAAAGACGGAAATTAACTCGAAATCGTTAACTGTTTATACCTATTAAGCTTGATATTTCCAGTCAAAATTTTCCCTCATTGCACACTGTATGGTGTTGCCTGTCTTCATTAGCCCAATCAGTTGTAGAAGAATAGGACATAAAACTCCATTCACTTCATTCAATTTTTCAATTCCTATCCTGACTTTTTGAATATTTTATTGGAGTTAAGGAGATGTTTACTTCTATTGTTTTTCTTATTGATTTCCATCCTGCAAGCCAGTCTGGTATAAGAGCTGCTTAAAGACGGAAATTAACTCAAAATCGTTAGCTGTTTGTCTTATAACCTATTCTATAAGTCAATCTGATATTAGAGCTGTTTTAGTGGCAGAAATTAACTGGAAACCTTTCACTGTTTGAACTTTCAACCCCTAGCGTAGTTGGAAATCGAAAAATAGTAGGCTAATGCCGCTGTCCTGGCAAAATTCCCTTTATTGTACACTGCATGGCGTTGTCTGCCTTCATTAGCCCACATGATACAGAGAAGTAGGACGTAAAACTCCATTCAATGTTATTTATTTATTTAATATTAAGTGTACTAAGTTTAGACTTATTGGTAATATTTACTACTATTGTTATTTACTCATCGATTTCCATTCCTGGAAGTCAATCGGAATTTACAACTGTTTTCTTGGCAAAAATTAACTCAAAACCATTAAATATACAATTTACTTAAAAAGGCTCTATTTTTTAACTGAAATATCGTGGTTTCCTTTTCGGATTCTGAAAGTGGACTAACCCAAGAGCAGTGTGACCTGGAAGTTACTCCTAAATCTAAGAAAGATTGACTTAATGCAGAGTTCATTTCAGAGCCCAAGAGCAATGTTTTTAACGATATCAGTTTAATAGCCACAATTTCCAATAGATGTAGATGTTAATGCACTTGAATTAGAATTACACATGACTGTATCTAATCATCCAGATCATTTGTTCTTTATCATTGTACTGGATTAAAGAGTTGGTTTTGATAGTCTGGCTTTCTTCATTATTCAATTATAACATTTTCATATTCACATTGTGTAGTCCCCAAGTGCCATATAAAATTTAGCCTATATATATATTTAGTATTTTGTTCCACAATGTTCCATAATGGTGAATCTCTGTCTGGTTAACATAACTGATCATCTGTCAGAGTTTCATAGAAAGTCGCTTGTTAAATTATCTTGTGATTGTCCGAAACAGGACTTACCCAGAGACAGAACTTCAGACTTCATCTCTAGTACGATTAAATGTTTAGTTAAAAATATATACATGTATAAAAGTTGTTAATATAGTCATTTTATTTCCCTGTTGATGTCGTTGTGACTTTTACTTCAACACGTCTTGATTTCAAACTCAGCGCCTATCCTAGTTATATATATTTTATTTCACTGTAATAACGACACGTACATGTAGTATCGCATGGTCTTGTTTCGTCTGACATGATAGTAAGCACTAGGCAGAATAGAAAACAGAATTTTTTCACATATAAACATGAAAAAAACATCAATGAGTAGATTTTGTATAATGATCATCACGATTATTTACAATGGTACACAATAAACGGTATCCAATACAGAAAATATAAACACGATAATATTTGTTAATGAAATAAGAGGGGAAGGTGTAATAATGTAATAATGAAGTACCCAATGTAATAAGGGAACAGGTTTTTTGTACCTTCCTTACTGTACCTAGTACCAACAGATGTACACATGAATTAACCAGGGTGCGAATTTTGGCCTTTCCCCTACCCTACCTAGCAGCTAACAGGTGTAACGGGTATATACAATCAGGCAGGTGTAATAATGTAATTAGGGGACATGCCTATTGTACTTACCCTACCTTACCAGGTTAGGAGTTAATGTGAAGTGCCCAGGCGACAGTCCCTCCCCTTCCCTACCACACCTAGCAGACACCAGGTGTAAAGGGTAGATACAATCAGTCAACTGTAATAATGTAGTAGCCAATTCAATCAACCGACAATATCTTACTAGTATATTAATATAGTTAAACTACTATTACTATTATAGATATACTATTGTTTTACACTTCACTAGGGTCAGTTAGTCCGAAACACTGTCTTTTATACTGGGTACTATTACTATTAATTATATAAAATAGAAGTCAAAAGAAATATGAAATTCCAGAGAATTATTTATAGCTCCGTCAGGCGTCCTTACTGCTCTGCTACGGCGACGGATAAAATAGATACACTGTGTTTTTAGTATGTCTATTTATTATTTAAAATAATTCAGATCAAAAGATTTAATATGAAATTCTGCAGACGAAGTGTTTCAAACACTGTTGAACATGTGCTTTCCCGCAAGTTATAAACATTTATATTTGGACTATTGATTCTGCAGTGAGAACGTAACGGTCAGTGTCTCGGGCTATGTTGATAAGGACACGGTGTGAAGACTATGTTACAAACATATTGAGACTTGTCTATTGTTTTTATACTCTTATACATTCATTAATAATTCACAAACTTATCAACTTATTAACTTATATAGTTAGGATAGCAGGTAGTCAGGTAAGTTAGGCTACAGTTGTCTTTATATTGTAAAATTTATTCAAATATTAACAATTATAAAGTCTTTACTAAATTAATGTACTATATTTTTTTAAACAAATTATAATGTCAGTCTAAAACTATAATCTTTATAATACTTGACAACATAACAATATAGATATCAACATTACCAATATATATATACAACATACATTCAGTTGTGTTGGTAAACAGCGTGACGAATTCATGTGATTCAAGGGAGGGGGTGGTAAGATCGGTCAGTCTTAAATTGATAGCATCAGACTGTCTTCTTAGAACACCTTACGGCAACTGTCGAAAAGTTGCCAAAAGTGAAGGCGCGAAAGCATTCGGCATTTCTCGACAGTTTCCGTTATTAAGCCGAATCTGTTACATAGCGCTAGCAGAATTTTCACAGAAGACGCTGGTAACCTATTTCGACCTATCTCGAATTCTTTATCGTTTAACCCAGTACAATTGTTTTTATAGGTATAAATAATTACATACAATAAAATGTAAAGAATGTAAATTATAAAATCAATATTTCAGATCAACTACGATTAGGTCTTGGAAAGATAAATATTGGATTTTTATTGTGTGGTAGAATTCTTGGAAAATATTTCATTTACCGCAATATTTCAGCATGGTTGTCATATTTCAAGCTCCGTGATCCAAATTAAAATATAGTAAATAATAATATATATAATCAATACTTTAACATTTCAGTAAAACTCAGTGAAATTATAGAAAAATAATTCAAGATGGCGGACTGTACTAAAGCTGATAATGAATTAAAGATGAAAGCTAAGAAAGAAATGATGAACACTAAGGATCCAGTTGAAAGATGTAAATTAGCTTTACTAGCTAGAGGTACTGCTGGTATTAAAAATATGTCCAGGTAAGAAACGATTTCGATAATTCTCTATCTAACTCATATGATAACAAGATCTAATATCAGAACGTTACATAACTAATACCAGACACGATCCAATAAATATATTATATAGATATCATCGTGTCCAAACCACACGTCATATACCTATATATATATATATATATATATATAATATAACAATGTCTTGGTAAGAAACGATTCCAATCTCAGACTATTCTTACTGAATTGCTAGGAGGACCAAGATGATATATCAAAATATTACATATTACCAGGTATATATCCAACCTTGTGATCCAGTTGGTATTGAAAATATGTTTAGGTTAGAATCGATCTAGATCTCAGTCTACATCTAATTTACTTTTAAGTCGAATATGATAACTAAATATAAGAAAGGATACAACTATCAGAATACAGTTTACAGTCTCTGGAGTCCTATACACGCCTTCCCCCATTCCTCTTTCTTTAAGGTTCTTCTGGAGTTAGAGATATGTCTAGGTTATCTATATGGTTTAGAATAATGGACAACCCCTCCCCCTCCTTACCCCCAGCTATAAAGTGTATATTCGTACTGTAAATAGTTTAGAATAATGAACGACGATGGTAATTAACAGTGAACAGTTATTTCCCCTTTAACTCCATATTCCCTATAACCTCTCCCACAATCGCCCCGCCTCGTCACCCTTCTCGGCCCCTGCCGCCATACCTTACCTCTGACCCCACGACTTTACCCCCACATTAACATATATCTTGTATTTATAGATGGTTTAGAATTATGGATGATGATGGTAATAAACAGTTAAATAAAGAAGAATTTGTAACAGGAATGAAAGATTTTGGTGTATCTTTAAATAAAGAAGAACTAGAGTTAGTTTACGATGCTTTCGATGCTGATGATAGTGGTAGTATTAATGTCACAGAATTCTTACAACAGATGCAGGTAAATATTACATTACTTAGACAGAGACAGAGACAGAGACAGAGACTGAGACTGAGACTGAGACTGAGAAAGAGACAGAGACAGAGACAGAGACTGAGACAGACTGAGACTGAGACAGAGACAGAGACTGAGACAGAGACAGAGACAGAGACTGAGACAGAGACAGACTGAGACAGAGACCGAGACAGAGACAGAGACTGAGACTGAGACAGAGACTGAGACAGAGACTGAGACAGAGACTGAGACAGAGACAGTGACAGTGACAGAGACAGAGACAGACTGAGACCGAGACAGAGACAGAGACAGAGACTGAGACAGAGACTGAGACAGAGACAGAGACAGACTGAGACAGAGACAGAGACAGAGACAGAGACTGAGACAGACAGAGACTGAGACAGAGACTGAGACTGAGACAGAGACAAAGACAAAGACAGAGACAGAGACAGAGACTGAGACAGAGACAGAGACTGAGACAGAGACTGAGACAGAGACAGAGACTGAGACAGAGACAGAGACAGAGACTGAGACAGAGACAGAGACAGAGACTGAGACAGACTGAGACAGACTGAGACAGACTGAGACAGAGACTGAGACAGAGACTGAGACAGACTGAGACAGACTGAGACAGACTGAGACAGACTGAGACAGACTGAGACAGAGACAGAGACTGAGACAGAGACCGAGACCGAGACCGAGACCGAGACAGAGACTGAGACAGAGACTGAGACAGAGACAGAGACTGAGACAGAGACAGAGACTGTGACGGAGACAGAGACTGAGACTGAGACTGAGACAGAGACAGAGACAGAGACTGTGACGGAGACAGAGACAGAGACTGTGACGGAGACAGAGACTGAGACTGAGACAGAGACTGAGACAGAGACAGAGACAGAGACTGAGACAGACAGAGACAGAGACAGACTGAGACAGACTGAGACAGACTGAGACAGAGACTGAGACTGAGACAGAGACTGAGACAGAGACAGAGACTGAGACTGAGACTGAGACTGAGACAGAGACAGAGACTGAGACTGAGACTGAGACAGAGACAGAGACAGAGACAGAGACTGAGACAGAGACTGAGACATAGACAGACACCGAGACATAGACAGAGACAGAGACAGAGACTGAGACTGAGACCGAGACCGAGACTGAGACTGAGACTGAGACTGAGACAGAGACTGAGACAGAGACAGAGACAGAGACTGAGACAGAGACTGAGACTGGGACAAACTGGGTATCATAGCCACTTTTCTTGTATATTTTAGACAAAGATATATATTTTAGTTAGTCCCAGGACAGAATAATTTCAGTCTAGATTGTATATGTATATTGTATAGTTTCAATTTATATTTCTACCCAATTAGAAGGTGTATAAATAACTTTACAGAGAGATACTGGTATTTGTTAATAGACTTTAGACTCATTCATTCTGGACAAGGCTTTCCCCAGAAACTGAGGCTGTACCGGCTTTACCAAACATTCCTTCCCACAATCACACTTCTTATCATTTTTAGGGAAAGAATCGCATCTGAGCTCTCATTAACACATATAAATGTTAATAAAAACTTATAAATCCATGTCCAAAAGGAAAACCGTATTCTTGCCATTTCGAAGCTTGCCCATTCTCCCTCTCATCTTCACAATATCAAGTTATTATCAACACCTTCTAATACATAGTTCTTAATACATTGACATGAGATGACTCTCATACTCCCCCTTGAAACTAAATAATATATTTTTTTTTCCAGCCCAAGATGTCGGATGCCAGGATGAAACTAGTGAGAGAGGCCTTCAATAAATTTGATAAATCAGGAGATAAAAAGATAGATGTAGCCGACCTCAATGAAATCGATGTTAAAGATCATCCGAAATATAAAAATGGCGAATGGACCAGGAAACAATGCCTCAATGAATTTTTGAAAACTTTTGACAGTAAAGTTCACGACGAAGACAGAACGGTAAGGGACACAACTCTTATTTATGTAGAGCAAAATAATCTAGTTTTTATAATTTTTTTTTGAAGAAATTAATGGATGAATACTGCAAATACCCTGCAGTGTACTATGAGGAAAGTTTGCTAAGACAGAGACAATAATCTTCTCTTGTTCACTATCTATCTGTTCTGTATCGCGCACAGACTGTAGCTTAGACAGACTTTATTTATTGTCCCATCCAAACAACTGAACACTTTTCAGAAGTTTCCCTTAGGCTGTGTACGCCTTAGCAAACTTTACCTCATGACACACTGCATGGTGTTGCCTTTCCTCATTAGACCAAACAAGTGCAGCAAAATAGGACGTACAAGTTCTTCTGTTGATGATAAAGGGGAGATAATCGAGGATGTTGATTTCGGGTTTTGTTTAGTGGTTTGGATCGTTAGTACTCAGTTTATTAATTTTATTATATTAATATACTATTGTAGGTAACAGACACTGAGTTTATAGCCTACTATTCTGCTATCAGTTGTGGTATAGATTCTGATGCCTATTTTGATCTAATGATGAGACAAGCCTGGGATCTATAAAGGTGAGTTTATCAGAATTACCTAGACTTGATACAGTGGCTCAACTACTATAGAGATTGGTTGAAGAACGACCACGGGCCCCCGCCCCAAGGGTTCACAAAAATAAAATGCAGGGGAGCATATGTTCAAAAGAATTTTCTCGGAGGGATTGACGCTATCCCACTTTAGTGTTTCGCCAAAATTTTATTTTGGATTTCGGGCTTGTTTTAGAGGTTCAGATCGTTTGATCTTTGGGTATTTTTATAATAAGATTCCCTTTGTTATTTCGTTGCATAAACGGGTGGAAGGAGCTTATCTCTGCTATAACTAGTTTAAATCGAAGTTGAATCACGTTTTACTTTGTTAATGTATAGAGAGACCTGGTATCATCTCTAATGACACAATATTGATGGTATAGACGAGTAGGCGGAGCTTAGCTGTGCTATAACTAGGTTTAACTAGACTATAGCACGTTTTACTATGTTAATGTATAGAGAGAACTGCTATCATCTCTTATGACACAATATCGACAATCGCCTTTGATCTTGATGGTATAAACGAATAGGCGGAGCTTAGCCGTGATATAACCAGTTCAAATAGATGAAGAGAAGTGGTTGAGTTATTTTTTCCCTATACCCATATTTTACTTCATAAAATTTTCTCCTCTATTTCAGTTTTAACCAATCAAACCAACAGTCTAGAATACTATTATTATTTATAGTCTAGAGGTAGCAGGAAAACATCTCAGTAATTCTGTAAATATCTCATTATCTTTCGTGTGTAAATACAGCTGTTGGTTCTCGACCGGTGTTTTCGGTGATAACAGCTTTAATTCTCTGACTCATTTCCTACTGTAGTTTTAGTCTTCATCTTTAAATGGCTTGTGATAGCTGAGTTTAATTCTGATAAATTGTTAAATTTGATGGTAAATATGGAAATACTCGATAATATATAGGAAATAAAGTAAATTAATTAATTATAGATATTATTACAATGGTAAAAATTCACTGATATTTATGGATAAAAACTCTCTAATTATAGAAATAGTAAAATTATGGAAGTTAAAATATAAAGTGTGTGAAATTTCATGGAATTATTTGGAAACACGTGGAACTTGACTTGTAGTTTATGAAATTTATGGAATATAATTTTGAAAAAAGTGTTTTTACAAGATGGACTTTCAAGTGATTAAGTAACAAAATCAGTGATTATTCTGTTGTCCAGTGATTATTCTGTTATCCAGTGATAAAGTCTGTATTATCAAAGTTTTAACAATTGGATTATATTAATATAATAACAGTAAAACAGGCTTCTTTCAAATTTAACATCAGTTGTGTTTTTATTTAATATTTAAGATTTTTAATATCTTTTGCTATTTTTTTTTTTATTCAAATTTATAATTTTGTGACACATTTTAGTATTTAGTGTATTTCTTTTTATGTTATTTCATGTTTCATAGTTTTAGTCGTGAATTTTTAACTTATCTCCCCTTCTTATAGTTATTGAAATAATAATATTTTACACACAAAATACAGTTTAGATTCAATTTTACTTTTAAAGTAAGAGTATTTCTTCAGGGGAGGGATGTCATTAATTCTCACCATTCCAATTTCCAATCAGACGTCTGTGGTTCCTGCAATTTCACAGTCTGCTAAACCTAAGCATTGTATGACGTCACTAACGCAAAGGATCTAAGGTATTATTAACAGTTTTTGCAATAGTGACTTCCTAAACGCATAGACTAGGAAGATAAGAGATGGAATGATGTAAATTGATGCTATCAATGTCCCTGATACACATAAAGGAAAAACCTCTTTACAATCCCTTTAATTCCTTATTCTTGTATTATTCCCAGCCCCGTTATTCATGATTTATTGTAATTTCTGTATTTTTTATAATTTCAATAAATTTATGTTATCTTGTTTTCTATGAATTATTATTATCAAAAAACATTCGTATCGTAAAGGTCGCCCAGTATCGTTTCTATAAATCATTAGATGAAGGGACGAGTAGAGGCCATAGAATCTCTCTAGGTCCACGTAGAAACGCTCATCAAAGCCTGCTATTTTGAATAAAATATGTCAATATACTAGAAGTCTACAAGTTGAACTCTTTAATTTCATTCTGTAATTCCAACTGCAATGTTGCATGTATTTATCGAAACCATACACCAAACAATTCCCCTACCCCCTAGCCTCAGACCATCATATCCACAGGCATCTTTGTTTCTATCGATAGTCGACTATCTCTATAATAGTATGTATATATGTATGAGAAGGTGGCTAACGCTTGTCACCACCATCTCCGCTTCAGACGATTTTCTACCATTTACCGTAATGAAACATAATCCCAACCTTATATGAATCGTTTCATTGAATATTTTCCCTTCACACTAGACCTATTTGATAATGATAGAAACAGATGCCTGTAATCATATCTCTAATACGAGTTTTGACAAGTCTATTAAGTATGACGAATGGGCGTGTGGATTGGACACGATGGCCTCTGACAATAAGTTTATTGTATTAAAAAATACAAAGATAAATCGTAGGTCTATCTGAACTCTTCCATCATGTTTGGGTTCAAGGTATTTGAGGCAAAATTTACTGATTAATATTGTAATCTATTTCAGTTGTAGCCTACACCATCCTCACCAAAAATAAAATAGTCACCATATTAAACACAGTCATATGTATGTAGTTCGAAACTTCGGTCTCTACTCCAACCACTAATAGATATTTTTACAGTTGTCAGCTCTCAGAAGCTAGACTAGAGCCAGATGTTTTGGACTATTTGATATGTTTCAGAACTCTACCGTTCTAAATTGTGTCAAAAATTCAACAAAATAGGTTTAAACGTGGAGGAAATGTATTATTCATAACAGAAAAGTAAAAAGTTCCCCTGAGAGAATTTCTGGACACTCCTGAACGATTAAATAGGATAGGTCATCGTCTCTACATGTTCGAAAACTCTCACCTGGGATAGGTTAAATTAACAAAATAATTCCAAAAGAAGTCAAACGGTAGTAGATAGTTACAGATCTAAAACCTAGTGGCACCTGCCTGCCACCTTCTACAGCCTGCGACTTGTCCTGGCAATATTTCGCTCATTGAACACTGCATGGCGTTACCCGCCATCATAAATTCGAACTGGAACAGAAAAGACGGACGTCATTTAAATTGACTCGGGGAAGATGATAAAATGACGAACTCAAACGAACCCATTATGACTACATTAATATGATTATATAATGATGAAAAATCAATCGGGAGAAAATTCTAGTTGAACAACTTGTGGAGTTTATGAACCTGAAGGTATAGAACTATGTTTACCTGGTAACCATGGTAACAATGATTTACATGTAGGTAGGGACAATACCGACCCATCTCGAGACAAAATAGATCGATTGTACAGCCGGTCTTTAGAAAGTTACCTGTGACAAAAATCACTTCACTTTAAATCACTGGAGGACCAGGTTTATCTAGCATCGAGTTTGTTTTTATCTTGGTAAGACTTTAGCTTTCTTTTATTTACAATAGTTTATATACTCGTCATGGGTTTCAGGTATAGTCGTCCACCTTTTGATTATCAGAATATAGTTTATATACTCGTCATGGGTTTCAGGTATAGTCGTCCACCTTTTGATTATCAGAATATAGTTTATATACTCGTCATGGGTTTCAGGTAAAGTCGTCCACCTTTTGATTATCAGAATATAGTTTATATACTCGTCATGGGTTTCAGGTACAGTCGTCCACCTTTTGATTATCAGAATATAGTTTATATACTCGTCATGGGTTTCAGGTAAAGTCGTACACCTTTTGATTATCAGAATATAGTTTATATACTCGTCATGGGTTTCAGGTACAGTCGTCCACCTTTTGATTATCAGAATATAAGAGCAAGTAGATGACAACTTAGAAAACCTGAGAGCAACATTATTTTCAAAAACTGATAACAACTAGCGACATTTGAGAATAAGATCACTCGCTGGTTTTAGTCACTAGAGATCACTTAACAATAATAATAATAAACTCTTTATTGTACATGGGTCGCACTTTAACAATCATTGTGTCATCTTCCCCATGTCAATCTATAAGTTCGTAATACCTTGACATTGTATATGGTTGCAAATGTATTTTACACGAAACTTATAGTTGTCGGCATAAGCTACAGAGCATGCAAAATGACGCGCGAGGCGGATTTCGAAAAAAAAAATTCACTAAGTTCTGTGGCGCTTTAGCAATTTCAAACAATGAAAGTGGCACTTCAGTTTATTTACTAGAGAAACTCTGGTTGTAGGGGATTCATTAGGTCTAACATTCGACCTTAACTATCTTATATAGATTATAAAGTTGAAGATCTGTAACGTAGGAATTGAATTAGACAGTCGGAACATTTCCCGGATGTGATTCACACTAAAAGCTGATTTTGTAAAATACGGTCAAAATCTGTCATGATAGATCAATTATTTATCATGTATAGTTTTTATATAGTCAGGTGGTTAATACTGGGTATAAATAAATAATAAATTAAATCGCTTTGAACTACGGTAGGTTAGTAGGTCTCCATCTTGTCTTGTCGAGGTTGGGAAAAGTTCTTTTGGTAACAAATTTAACGAACTTTGAAACAATTATAACAAAAATTTATATAAGAAACACAATAAATAAACCAAATACTAACGAACCGCAAAACGAAACCCGAAAACCAAAACAACATTATGGTGAAACATTGCTAACAACTATTGAACATTTTACATGAGGAAGTATATCAAAGTAAGTAAATCATAATGTGTATATATGTCGGGTTTTTGTTTTGCAATCCTCATGGTCTCATGTTATCTAAGTATCAAATCAGCACAGGACTTATACCTTGACATCATTAGGCACTTTTCTTGTATCACGGAATGCAGTGATTTGATTGGAATGTA